ATTATCTAATAATTTCTGAGACAACAGCCAGTAATTGACACTGACCAATGCTTTATTAAAGTCTATTAAACAAGCTAATACATGGCTTTCTCTAGATGTCTAGTACTGCACGGTCTTTTTAAAATAGTTTAAGCATAACGTTGTCGAGTGATTTTGTTTAAAGCCAAACTGGTAATCATCATTTTTATCAATGTTGAACATATTAATTTTCTGCAATAAAAGACTCTAAAATATTTTTGACATGGCAGAGGAAACAGCAATGGCTCGATAGTTGTTCACATCTGTTAAATCAGCCATTTTACATTTCACTATTAGAATAATCGTGGCTTCACAAAACGTAGATGGTAAAAACCTATATTTAATGCATAAATTAAAAAAAATACTAATAAAAAGCTGCAGTCTATTTCCACTATACCTAAAAGATTCCACACAAAGGTCGTCAGGTCCAGCTGCTTTTCCTTGTTTCTGAGTTTTTATTGTATTAGATATGTCAATGCAGCTCACAATAATATCAGATTTGATTTTGAGTGGGTATTATTCAACTTTTTGCTCATAAATCAGCTTGAATTTGTTCATTATGATGTGTATAATATCTAAGAGCTAATTTGAAAGTAGCACGAGAGCGCATCATGTTTTCAAAAATGTCAACCTGTTTCTTCCTTTCTTGAAATATCCATTGCTTGAATGCATCTAATGCAATTTCGTGTTTATCTTTAACATAGTCATTCTAACCTAGAGTAGTATATTCATGATTTTTATGTTTAAAACTAGAGTTAGGTATGGTATCAAATACAGCAGATTGCATAGTATTTATGATGGAGTTATATAATAAGTCAATATCGTAAGTTGTAATGTAGCCATTTCGTATAATTTCAGTAAGTAAATAGAGTGGTATATGTACGGATTTCAATAGAAAGTCTACTTTTTCATCATATTGGGTCAAAGTAGCTTTGTCACAAACTTCCTAGTTAGAAGATCTAGTTGACATATTAGAATAAGGTTCGCTGTTATTTATTTTAGAGGAGTTTGCTAATGAGTAAGCAATCAGAAACGCTAATGGTTTATGGTCTGATGCAATAACATTATTTAAAACTGATATAGATATAATTAGATTATCAATAATTGGACTGCATAGAATGTGGTCCAACCACGAAGAAATAGATTCATCGTCACTGACATATGTACGGATATTATCGAGGCAATTGATATCAGATTTAATCAGTTTTTTTTCGACAGCAAAATTAGAAAGTTTTTTATAAAATCTTGATCCATTATAACAATTAAAATCGCCAGCAATAACTGTGTTCATTGCATTAGTTTCCACTATAAGTGAGTTTGTTTTTGAACATATATCCGACGAACATTGTCAACTATGCAGACAAAGTTCGTCGTTATAATTCGTGAGCATGTACACACATATTAGCAAAATTGGCCCTATATTGGCAGATACTTTTAAACAAGTCATTCTGGATTCTAAAGATTTAGTAATTTTAATATCATTTGACAAAATTTTTCAATAAAGAAAAGCAGTCCCTCCAAAGGGTCTACCAAATAATACATCAGGTGATATGTTTACTGCTGATATACCAGTACCATAAAAGTCTGAATGTAGATTGTTTAATAATTCAAGCTCATTGGGTAACAACCAATGCTCTTGTAATAAAACAAAATTGTATATATGACACAAATTTTTAATTGCAAAAACACTGTTTTTGCAATTAAAGATTTTCAATTGAATAAAGAAAACGAGATACTGTTGTTATGGTCCATTTTTTGGTTTAAAAAATTTTTTTGTTTATATAAGTAAATTTATTGGCAATGTAACCGATGGAGCCTCCAATATGCTAGATCAATATAATGGAATCAACACCTGGTTAAACAGAGTCTCCCCGGGTCAGATTCATGTATGGTGTTATGTGCATGTCTTATTTTTAAAAATGAGTGACGTTACTAAAAAAGCGGTTAAAGTTGTTACTTTATTTTGTGTTTTAAACACGTGTGCAGTATTTTTACTGGAATTATACTTACGCTTCGATGTTTGGCATGAATTTAGCAAATTGAAATATATATTTTTAATTGGTGAAACCCGTTGGTTGGGGCTTACTAAGATATTGGACTTGATCTCCAATCAAGAAACATAAGTTATTGATTATTTGTACATTGACATGTTACAAATATTTTATGATATTTCTACATCAATCAAATTCAATGATGATGTCCGCTACAGAGCGAAAACTCTTTTAGATTCCTTGACAAATTTTGAACTTATTTTGACGGTAAAATTGTTTTTGAAAGTAATTGAGAATACAACGCCATCACCTAAATATTTGCAAACAACTGGAATGGGTATAATACAAAAATATGGATTTGAAGTTCAGACTGGTCTAAAAAAGAAAATAATTAGAGCCAATAAACAACTTGAAAGTGCGAAAGATAAATTTCCTATCAATGATCACAACATTATCATGATTCAAATAATTAGTAATATAAAACAGAGGTTATCTGGACATGGTATATGGTAATTTCTTTTGTTTAGATCCAAGAAATTTTGCAGAAATTTTTGTAAAAATGCCTAGTGACGCATTGCAGCACCTCAGTGGGTTGTTCAGAAAATTTGATGCTTGTGTAACAATAGACCAGCTTCAAACGAAATTTTTGTACTTTGCAAGGATATGTTTCGAAACATCTCTTGAACATGAGTATCAGTAGATATTTGACACGGAAATATCTAACTCTGTCTCGGACAACATCCGACAATCTAAATCCGTAGACTTTGAAATTGTCTTTAGAATTACAGCAGTAGAAAACAGCAACAGCCACTGAAATTCATGCAAACCTTGCAAAAAATGTTACTTTGTACTCCAGAAGTTCAATACGCATAATCTTGCGTATCCAAATTTGTTTCTAGTATACAAATTTGTGTTGACATTATTCTCATCACAAGTTGCTTGTGAAAGGTCATTCTCAAAATTAAATATATTTTGAACAGGGTAAGGAATTTGATAAATCAAATAATTCATGCTAATATCTTGTAAAAAAGACCTTCTTACAAGAATTGATAACAATGCAGTTATTGATATTTTGGCATCGACTAGTCAAACGATAAAAAAGTTACTATACTAGTCAATTGTGATTAAAATAAATAGACTTACAGCAGTGTTTTAGAAATACTTGTTTTATATCAAAATTTTGATTGAGAAGATTAAAAAAAAATTTATACATAAAATAACAATAAATAAGTAAAACATCAGATGAGGTTGGCCGTCATGACCAAATTTCCCGGGCCGTTTTTTCAAGCCAGTCAGATCCTGCTTACTATGGAAAATTAAACGTCATTTCTGCAGTATATAGCTACGCCACTGCCATTTTTATCCAGCCCTTAAGATAAATGGAATAATTTTTAGTACAGACCATGGAGTTTGGAAGTTTATCATTGAAAAAGGTTTCACACAAAATGGCAGGTTTGTTTGACTCAACGTATAAAAAAATCGTTAAGTTTGTTGGCAAGACTTATTTTATGAGTTTATAAAGTCGCTACGTTTTGAGCTGAGAACCTTTTTAATGCTTTTGTTGTTTACAGGAATAATAAATTGTTTACTAATGCTTGAGGCATGATTTTTTTGTATGACTTCGGAATAACTAAAGATGAGTCGTGACTGAAATCTTTTTGGTGTTTGCAAATTAATGAGCTGTGACTGAAATATTTTTGGTTTTTGCAATTATAAAATGATTGTTAGTTTTTATGACTTTTTCGTTTCTTATGCAATAATAAAAAAGTTTGCACTCTTCGCGTAAAAACTTTGTTTTCAATCGCACAGCCATAGTTAAATCGGTATTATTAAACACTTTGTTAAACTCGGTTGAATGAATGGGATCATAGTCATAAGAATAAATAATATTTAGATACATAAGATTAAATAATATTTTTTTTGGTTATGATGGGATTGATAAACACTTTGTTAAACTCGGTTTTTATCATTTCTCTTAAAATGTTTAAATATGTTGTAACATTTTAAGATTTAAATAGCTACATTAAGTATTATTTTAAGTTTTAAGTACAAAGAAATATCAAATAAATTAAATGTTTTTTTGTTTTTAACGTTTTGATATATTGGGCCGTTGGGAAAGGAGGAGCGCTTTATTTAAAAAAAATAATGCGTAGGTACGCATTATTTTTTTTTAAAATACAGATGGGGGAGAGGGTTCTTCGACAGAGTACAAGGAGGGAGAGGAAATCCTAAATCAGTGCTTTTACTGCGTACGTACTTTATGAATGCCCTCTTTTTAAGAGTAGAAATTAAATGAAAGCGAATCTTTTTAAGACTCGAAATTAAATGAAAGACAAATTTTGAGCATATACCAAATTTAATTGAAAGATGGATTTAACCCGTATATGTAACCGTATATGTATACAAATTTCTATTTCAACTTCGGCGCCGAAGTCGAAGCAAAAGTCAACTTTACCGTTCAGTAAACATCGTACTCCGAATTTTAACGAATATTCGCCAGTCCTTAGATTCTATGTAAATGGTATTATGAGACATAAGTAATTAGCGTGGCATAACTGAGATAATAACGAATCCTTTTCAGCTTTGGTTTGTTTAAACTGTATTTGTTTTTAAAACTCATTTTTCATCAGGCATCATCGTTTAGAGCACTTAAGCAAGGGTTTGTAACTAGGTTGATTTATGCTAGTGTTTATAAAATCGTTCCGTAAATTTAAGCAAGTTCGTAAAACTTAATGATCTAATGAACAAAAAATAATAAAATTTAGCAGTACCATGTTTACTTGTTTACATTTGTACATGTTTTCATTTCTTACACGCTTTTTTTTTTTAAACACTTTTATTTATTTTGTTTTAAGGCTTCCACCTACTAGATGTAAAATTGCTTGCGATAAGTATTTTTGCGCGTGCGATAAGTATTTTTACGCAACATTAGGTTCGCTAAGCTACGCAATTTATTATTACTTAGATGATCTCACAAAATAATGAACGAAG